ACCATGTGGCAAACGTCACGATTATTGTTAACAAATGGCAGCTGAGGTGGTCATCGGCTCTTATCTTGGGTTTTAATCATCCCTGTGAGGTCTAAAGTCTCAGTGGCTTTCTGGGTTGGTTGGCCAGTCCCTGGCTGAGTTGGGGATCTGAGAAGCTGGCCTGGGGTGCAGTGGCCGAGTCCAGGCGTGAGTCTCCTGCCATCTGCTCGGCTGCTCTGTAGGCTGCTCGCGCGTCGTCAGCCTCCCCTGGGCTCTGAACAGATGAGGCTCTCGGGATTTGCTGGGGTGGAAGAGAAGGAGCCCTGGGCTTAGCACTGGCAAACCTGGTTTCCGGAGGCTCTGCCCCGTCCGGCCGGCCTCTGTGTCAAATGGGGCTCATAAGGCTTGGGTCTCTGGTCGGGGTGACATCACGCATGGGGGTGGGGATGATGGAACATGGGGCATGAAAGGGCTCTGAGATGCCAGTGGGAACAGACTTGATGTGTGCTGGCTCGTGAGGCTCAGTGGAGTCTGATACATTCCCCACCTTGGGAGCCCATACCACCCTCTGGGAGAATCTCACCCTGCCTGAAGGCCACCTCCTCAGAGAGGCCTCCGTGATTGCCCCGCCTCCGCCAGCAATCACAGGAGGGACGGGACTCAATGGTTCTGTGGGTCGAATGCCACTTCCCGTTGCCATGAGCCTTTGCCTGGTTAGTGTGTGTCCCCCCGCCCCCACTGACCACCCAACCAGTGCCCTCTTAGGGTAGGTGATGGGGTTTGCTCACTCCTGACCCCCACCCAGCACCTACCATGGGGCCTGGAGCCCAGAGCGTGTTTGGCAGGTACCTGTATGAATGGAAACGTGGTAGGGGAGACCCGGGCACTGAGGGTACCTGCAGGCTTCCTGGAGGAGGAGGGACTCTGTTCTGGTCTTGAGCATGAGGAGGTGTGTCCAGGGACATTCTGGGGAGAGAGAAGAGGGTACCTGGAGGTGTGACTCCTACAATCCCTCCCCCTCCTCACCTGTGAGGGAGGCAAGGGCAGAGGGGCCAGTGGGCCAGGCTGAGAAGCCGGAACTTGGTTTTGTAGGCCATAGGGCGCCATGGAAAGTATGTGAGAAGCAGCAGGGTGGGGACCACCATTGTGTCTCCAATCCTGTGCCAGGCCTCGCTGTAGGGGGGTGGCTTGCCAGGTGGGTGGGCAGATGACGTGGGCTCTTGACCTGAAGTCTAGTCTGGGCTGGAGGTGGGCTGCACACTTACCAAACCTGAATCAAGCTGCCTTCAAGAGACAAGGATGCGTGTACCTCCCTTGATACCTGCCCTGGTGAGGAGGCTGGGCTGGCTGATTGGGTGGGGGTGGGGGATGGGAGGGGTGGTAGACTAGAGACCCCAACCAGGTGGGGAGACCAGTGGGCCCCTGGTGCCTCAATGGTAGAAGCAGGGCTGGCCCAGTGGTGGCCCTCTGGGGGCAGATCTGTGCTCTCCCATTTGGTTCTCTGGTTGGGGTCCTGAGCTGCCTGGGGGTGTCAGGGACATTGACAAGGAGAAGGCATAATGACATGGGTGAGAGGCCCTGAGACCTGGGCCCACAGCGAGGTGGGGGTCAGGGAGGCAGCGGCCAGGGGCTCACTGTGGCCTCGGAGGACACCCAGGCCTGAGTGTCCCATTCTTGCCTGGACCCAGACCAAGACCAGAGGAGAAGGGGTGGCATCCTCTCTGGGGTTCGGGGATACAGGGGCCACACAGGCAGCACCAGGCACTGTTCTGAACACTTTTCATGCCCCCATCCATTTATTTCCGATAACTCTGAGAGGGAGGGACGGTTGCTGTCCCTCTTGACAGGAGGAAGCCGAGGTGCAGGGTGTGGCTGTTACTAGGTAGTGAAGGTTCCCCTGAGGAGGTGGTGTTCCCAGCAGAACATGACCCAGGCCAGGAGGTGGGGAGGGAGCTTGTAGGGGTGGACTGGGAGGTGAGGTGGGCAGCCCTGTGGAGGCAGCTTGTGGAGGCCTCTGCTAGGCCGATGGCTGGGGACAATAGGGGGAGTGGAGGCCTGACAGCCCTGGGACCTGATCTGCCTGCCATGGCAGTGTCTCCACTATGAGCCAGGCATCCTATTTTCTAACCCTGTTTGTGACAGCCTGGGAACCTGAGGCACAGGTTGGCATGGGGTCTCTTTGAGGAACCAAGTGACTTGGCTCCAGGGAGGAAGTGACCCCCAACTCAGTAGAGATGCCAGCGTCTCAGACCCCTCCCTGGAAACCCACGATACTGTCATTACCTGGCCCACTCGCCCGGGGAGTCTGGGAGGCAGCTTGGCAGGGCAGGGGTGGAGGGGTGACTGGGAACCCCACCTGGGAGGGCAGGAGAAGGTGGGTGGGCTGCGTGCTGGTTCTGTCCATTTCTTTCCTGAATCTTCAAGCTTAGCCCAGCACCTGGCCTTTGAAGGTGCTCAGTACATATTTGTCAAATTGGATGAATGAACGGATGAATGAGTGGATGAATGCCTGGTCTCCAGTCCTCGTTGGTGGGAGTCCTGTGGTCCAGGGTGGGGGTAGGGAAGGCTCAGAGGCACTGCTGAGCTTCAGGAGGGTGCAGAGCAGTGTAGAGAGCAGGACGCCCCTGCAGGGATGGGGAGGTGGGTGGTGGGCCTTGTGCAGGGCAGGTAGCCCAGGATGCAGGCCTTATGTGCCAGAGTGTGGCACCATGTGGTGTCAACAGGTGGCCTGGCTGGCAGTGGCTGCTGGGATGGTTTCCAAGCACTGAGACCCCCATCCTTGCCCCCAGGAAGGGCAGGCGGGGGGCTGGGGTGCTGGGGGAATGACAAGGGCAGGGTGAGGGGAGCTGGGAGGGGGCCTGGCTGTGTCACACCCCCAGGCAGGGAAGATGCTCTACCTGCTCTGCCGCCACGTGGGCTTCTAGGGTGGCAGAAGGGGTACCTGGAGGGTTTGCAAGGCCACATTTGGGGTCACAGTTCCCCTGGCCGTGCCTCAGTTTCCTCATCTGAGCGGCTGCCAGGGGCCTCGTCTTCCAGCTGTCAGTGTCCACTGTCTCCTTGTCCCCTCAAGACCCCGGTGAGCCAGGGCTTGCCATACCTTTTACAGGTGGGGAACCAGGGCTCAGAGGGGAGAAACAGTCACAGACAGCACCGACCTTGACCCCAGGCCCTGTGAGCCCAGAGCCCAGTCCTGACTGCTGTGGTTTGGTGCCACCTTGTGAGTGGGGTCAGAACTCCTCCCTGTGACTGTCCCCCTCCTCTACGTCCTCCCCCTGCCACCTCTGCTCCCTTGCTCCTTTCCTCTGGCATCCCTGGTTCCATTAGGGGACGGTCCAGGCCCACAGGGGTGAGGCTGGCTGAGCTGAGTCCAGGTGTGGGGGGCTGGGGCTTGGCGCTGGGCTATGGGGGTAGGGTCTGAGTCCTGGGTTGGGATTGGTCATTGCAGCAGGCCACAGGGTGGTACTAAGCACCTCCTGGGGTCAGGTTTCTACCCATCACTGGGTGGTTCTCCTGGTGCCATTGGAGCTTGGGAGGCTCCAGGTGGGCCTGGCAGGGCCTGAGTGGCCACAGATTTGGGAGGCTCCTGGTGCCTGGCGGGCATCACCTGCTGCCTGCCTGATGCTGGGTGCCTGGGGCCCAGTGGCAGCCTGAGTGGAGCCCCATGGCCTCGCCCATGCTCTCGCCAGGTGCCCACCTACCTGCCTGCCTGTGGAAGCAGTGGTTACAGCCCCCAGGTCTGTGGTGGAGCTTTGGCCTGCCTGGGCACTGCTGGTGGCTGGCGGCATGTGAGCAGCTTCAGGAGGAGCAGGGCAGGCGTCTTGGGTTGGCGAGTTAGCGCCATGCCCCAGAAGGCACTGTTAAAGCTGTGTGCGGCCCAGAGGAGCAGTGGCTGAGCACAGGGGTGTGTCCTTGGAGCCCACACTCATCTGTAGATGCCCAGTGGGTAGAACCCGAGCCGGTGCCCAACAGCTCTGCTTCCAGGCGGCAGCCAGGCACCCCATGACTGGCTTGGAGCTGACACCATCTCGGAAGGTGGCTTTCCTCTCTGGCAGTGTCTCTATTTGTAAAGGTGGCCATGGGCCCCAGAGGGCTAGCACTGGCCCAGGGTTACACAGGGAGTCGGGGTAGTAGCCTGATGTGAGACTCCAGGCATCGGGAGCATGCCTGCCTCCCTCCTGGCCAGTTCTTCCAGGAATCCTCCCCTGACCTCCCACCCTCCAGATCACCTGCCACCCTGGGGCTGCTTCTGCTCAGGGGCTTTCCTCCTGCTGGTCCCGTCCCTGCAATGATTGCTCAGAAGCACCAGAGAGGGGGCCTGGGACGGACAGCTTGAGAGGCTGCCTGAAGGTGGAGGGCACAAGGGATGCTAAGGAGTAGTGAGGTCCCCATCACCAGAGGTGTGCAAGCTGGGGCTTAGGTGTGGCGTAGGTGACCTTTGAGGTTCCTCTAGACCTCAGGGGTCGAGATTCTGTGATGGGTTCTGGATGTTTCCCAGATCTGGACCTCTGCCCAGAACGTTGGGTCATTTGTTCCTTCCACAAACAAGTGGGAGCCCTCTTGGTGCCAGGGCCTGTGTGGGAGGTGGGGTGAAACTGAGGACCTCTCAACTCTCCTTCAGTTGGGATGCCTTCCCTGGGGCCTGGGACACTCTGCTCTAAAGGACACATAGCAAGGGGAGAGGGGATGGGATGGGGTGGGGAGAGGGGATGGGATGGGGTGGGGAGAGGGGATGGGATGGGGTGGGGGCAGTGGCAGTGAGGGAGCTGGGCTCTTGGAGCTGCCGGGTGCAGGGGCCTGGAGGACTCTGGGAAGGCATCCTAGCGTATCAGGCATGGGCTTGGCCTGCTCGGGTCTACCCTTCTGGCCCCCCTAGCAATGGGCGGACTTGGGCTCGCTCTGGGAGGATTCCAGGAACGGCTCCTGCCCGGATATAAATAGACTTCTCCGAAAGGCCTGGGGCTGTGCCAGCTGCAGCAGGTGCCCCCCAGGCCTGGCCAGAGGGCCCCAGGCAAGGAGGTGGAGCCCGGGTGGGGGTGATGAGGATGCGGGGGTCCACCTTTGTAGCCCCAGAGGCATGATGGGCTCTGTCTGGTTGTAGCATCACAGAGCTTGATGGGAACTTTCACTCTGAGACCCTTTTATGGATAAGAAAACTGAGGCTGGGGTGGCAGGAGCAGCTTACCCCAGAGGTCCTCTCTCCTAGAGGGCTAGAGTTGGGATAAGCAGGGTCTCTGGGGGGCAGCAAGACCCAGCTCCAACTGTGGTTCCTCTGCCTTCTGGCTGTGTGACTCAGGAGGGTTGCTCAGCTTTTCTGAGCTGTTGTGGTTCGCCAGTGCAGTGTGGCAGGTGTTGGTGCCTTGCTCGGGGAATGCAGTGTCTAGCCTGGTATCCTTAGAAAGTGGCTGAGGTTGGAGACTGGTGGGGCAGAGTCTCTGAAGCTGACCCATTCCTGCCTTGGACCTTCACGGAGATGCTGCTGGAAGTGGTGAGCTGAGAGCACTGGGCAGGAGTCAGAGCCTAGTGTCTCCCTGTGGTGCTGGGTGCACCCATGTGGGTGGGTGTCCTTGCCAGGGAGCTCACACCCTTGGGGGTCTATGAGCTGGCAGGCAGGGCTACCTAGCTTGGTGCGCCCTTGGGTGGGGGCTCCCATGGGTCCCTTCAGACTGGGCACAGTCCTCCTGTCCTCGGCCCCTGGCCTGCTTGCCCACCTGGGGGTGGGAGGAGACGAGGGTTGCCAGCACAGCTGGGCCAGGCTGATGGTGATGCTGTCTGGAAGTGTGGGTGGGGAGAGCCTGGCAGGGGGAGAGTGGGTCATGCTCTCAGCAGGGTCCCTTGATGACCTCAGATTGCAGGGACCAGGTTGTTTGAGAGCTGCAAGCAAGGCCAGGCCTCCAGGGACCCTGTGCTGGGGGTGCCACCCATGCCCCTCCACCCTGCTCTGGGTGGCCAGGGCAGGCACAGAGTGGATCATGATGCCAGCTGCACCCTTGGGGCTCATAGTCTGGGGAGCACATGAGTTCCCAGCACAATGCTCCCAGGAGGCAGAGCCAGGAGTCCCAGGGAGGCTTTTGCTTGAGAGGATCTGGGAGGGCTTCCTGGAAGAGAAGTGCCTCTTCGGAAGTGCCCAGCCTCGGAGTTTGTGGAGCCCTCTCCCTGGCTGAATCCTGCCTGCCGGTGTTACCTGAGTGTGTTCCTCGTTTCAGTGCCTCAGTTTCCTCACCAGTACGCTAGGGGAGACCAGCGTAGCAGCCACAGCTGGGTGGTGAGGATTAAGTGAGGGGACAGTAGTGTCTGGTACACGGTAGGTGCTGAGTTAAACACATGGAGAAGTGCCGGGGCTGTGGGCTGGTGAGTTGGGCAGGGGGTCTGAACAGGAGGGACTCGGGCGCCCTCCTCCTCAGGGTGCAGGACAGCACCTGCACAGCGGAGCCGCATTTACATTTCCAAAGCTGGGCGTGCTCCCTCCAGGCCTCCCCACCAGGAGCGCAGCCCAGCGGCTCCTGCCCTCAGGACCCCCAGCCCACAGCCCCGTGAGGGGGCCAGGGGGAGCTCCGAGGTTCTAGGGAGGGCAGGCACCGGGAGAGGGCGCTGGGCCGGCCGGCGGGAGGAAGGAGGGGTCCCGGGCTGCAGCGCCCCCGGCCCTCGCCGCGCCCCGCACTTCCCTTTCCTGGCCGGGCTTCCTCTTCCCCGCGCCCGCCCTGCGCGGCCCCTTTGTTTCCCGGGCAGGGCGCGGCTATATTTAGGCGGCAGGTGTGGGAGCCCTCGGCAGCCGGGTCGCCCGCCGGTCACGCCCCCCACGTGACGCCCGGGCACTATAAATAGCCGCAGGCGGCGGTGGCGGCAGCGCCTGGAGCCGGCTCCGCGGCAGAGGGGCGGCGCCCCGACCCGGGCCCAGCACCGTGGGCACCGCCCGGCCGGCGCGTATGGAGGCGGCAGGACGCCTGCGGCGCGGGTGAGCCTGGCAGGTGGGGACGCGGCGGACCCAGGCCTTCCGGGACCCCAGCCCCGCCGGGGAGGAGGTGGCGCCCTCCGGAGGGCTGGGCGGGAGCCCCGCTGGCGTCCAGGGAGGGGGCCGCGCCCCTTACCACGACCCCACCCGCGACTGGTCCCCCGGGACTCCCCGGAGCGCCCACCTCAGCCCTGACGGTGGCACAGCCTTACTTCTGAGACCCACTGAGCCCCGGGCCTCCAGACTCCTTCCCCAGTATCACAGGGGGGCCCTCTGTGAAGGGGGCTGGATTCAAACTTCTTAACCCACTGTGCCATCGGGAAGGAGGGTGGTAGCCTCCCTGAACCTCGATTTCCTCTTCTGTACAGGGGGCTCCGTGTTGTTCCTGCCTCCTAGACTTGAGGCAGAGAGAACATACTTAACAGGACGCCTGGTGTGGCCCTGGCCGAGAATGTCCTCCCCTCTCCCTGGCTTGTTTCCTCGTCTGGCCAACAGGGACAAGGATGGACTCTTCCTTTAAGGGTCTTGAGAAATCGCTGAGGGCTCTGGGCCTGCTGGCGCGAGGAGGCTGAGCCGGATCTCAGGAAGGGTGCTGCAGGGCTTGGTAGCAGGAGGGAAGGAGGGGCCGTGGCTGCCAGTGGGTCCCTGTGCTGTGGGCCACGAGCTTGGTGGGGGTGGTAGCGACTCACAACACACGGAGGCAGGGGCAACCTGTCCCCATTTCGCAGATGGGAAGCCTGAGGCTTTGGCTTCAGGGAGTTCTCAGTGCCCATCCCTGGGGATCCTTAACCCTTGCTCTCAGGGCCCTACCTGGTGACCTCAGTGGGGGCGTGCAGTTAGGGAGGGGTGTTCTCCCTTGGGGGACAGCCACCAGGCAGGGCAGAGCCACATAGTGGTGCCAGGGCATCATTGCTTTGCTCTCACCTGGGGCAGGGGTAGGGGCTCCAGGGTGCAGAGACAAGTGGGGTATGTGGCAAGACCCCAGCCCAGCCTTGTCTAGCCTCTCCCTGGACCCCTGACCCCGTTCTAGCCTGGGTTGTGACCCCTGAGGTGGTTCAGAGCCTCCTCCCTCGCAGCAGCCTGCAGCCCTGAGGACCTGTCCAGGGCCGCCACTAGGCAGCAGGGCCAGGCCACGTGCTGTTGCCTGTGGGGTCTTCCTAGGTCCTTGGCAACTGTGGGCGTGAGGAGTTGGTCAGCCCCTCAGGGAGAGGCCCAATGCTGTGGCTTCTCCAGCGCTTTTCCTCCTTTCTTTCTGTAAACATGAACTCGGCTCCCCCGCACAGGGACATCCTGCCGTCCCAGGAGGGACCCAGGTGTTTGTGTGCTGTTAGCACGCGGTGGCTTCCCTCACCCACACTCAGAGCCTGTGCTCTCTCCAGCTGGGCAGGGTGGGGGCTGGCGGGACCAGGGGCAGGATCCTTGTCTCCACCTTTACCTCCTGCTGGAGGTCCCACTCCACCATCAGTTTTTTCTTTTTTTTTTTTTTTGAGGCGGGGTTTTGCTCTTGTTGCCCAGGCTAGAGGGCAATGGCGTGATCTCGGCTCACTGCAACCTCTGCCTCCTGGGTTCAAGTGATTCTCCTGCCTCAGCCTCCTGAGTAGCTGGGATTACAGGCATGCACCACCACGCCTGGCTAATTTTTTTTATTTTTGTTTTTAGTAGAGATGGGGTTTCTCCATGTTGGTCAGGCTGGTCTCGAACTCCCGACCTCAGGTCATCTGCCTGCCTCAGCCTCCCAAAGTGCTGGGATTACAGGCATGAGCCACTGCACCCACCATCTGTTTTAACCTTCCCAGAACCACGCAGTGGACAGATCCTGAGGTGTGGCGCTTGCTCGGAGCCCGTGAGCACTGGCGGCCATCCAGGGTGTAGAGGGCAAGCAAGGAGGAGCCCACGGTCCCATGCAGCCACCCTCCGAGTCCAGGGGCCCAGGCCTCAAGCCCTCCCTGCGCCTGGGCTGAGACTCCAAGGGCCTCGCCTGCCTGGTGGGCAGCAGGGAAGGGGGTGCTGGGGCTGGGGCAGGGGCACAGGTGAGAGGGTGTGGGTTGGGGAATGGAGAGCTCTGCTGGACAAGGGACCCTGAAGTGCCTTTCCTTGGGTGGTAGACAGTAGTGACAGGGCCGGGCTTGGGTTGAGTCTAGGGGGCTGGAGAATCTGCTAACAGCTGGGTCACAGCCGGAGGGAGCTTGGGTCACTTGTGTGGCCCCTCGTGCTAATGGGGTAACAAAGAGGCTGGCACCTTGTACAAGGTCTCCCAGCCTTTCCGTAGAGAGGGAAGGGGGCTGCGTGCTCCTGGAACCCCCTTGCCCGGGAGCTTTGGGGTTGTGAGACCCAGAGAGGGAGAGAGGCAGGCGTGGAGGTGCTTCAGGTTACTGTGGCCCACCTGCACCCTCCCTCTTCAGGGCCCTGTTACGGTGTGAAGCCACTCCTGGCCACGTGTGCTGTCACCACCTTGGCATGTGTGCCTGATGGCTGGCCTGTTGGTGTGGTCTGTCCCCGCCTCCTCGAGCTCCTGGAGGGGCAGAGCTGGCCTGTTTATCCCCTGAGCCTGGCTGAGCCCTGTGTGAGCAGCGGAGACACGGTGGCGGGGGGACACTGGTGGGCAGGGGGCTACTGACAGGCAGGAGACTCTGCAGAAAGCAAGAGGCAATTAGGGTAGCCCACGGCCGCGTGTGGGGCCAGGCCCCTCACCTCCCTGTACTGGCAGCTTGAGTGCCTGGGCCCCGTGCCCTGAGGATGGGCCACCCAGAGAGACCTGGGCTCAGATGTTCGCAGTAGCCAAGAATCGGAAGAGGAGAGGGCAGCTGTCCTGGGGTGGGGTTTCCACAGATCACGGCAGGTGGGCAGGGGCCAGGCTCAGGCTTCTTAGGGGAACTCGGCCTGTGTCCCCACAGAGGGACCCATTGTCTGTGTGCTGGGTTCATCATGTCCTCGGGGGTGTGTGTGTCCCTGAAATCCCTGTCCCCCTCTGTCCTCCGTCATGCCCTGCTGGCTGTGTGGTGGCTGCCCTATGGCCTTCAGGCGCTGGGTCAGTCCTGGCAGGAGCCGTGCTTCCTCGTGCTCCCACATAAGGAAACAGACCTAAGAGGGTCATTCACTCAGCATGGTCAGGAGGAGCGCTCTGGGAGAGGTGTCGCCTGTGACTGCGGGCTCAGGCAGGCATGAACCCCTCGTGGGTGGTGGGGCCCCCTGTGACCCCTTTCTATTCATTTTCTTCATCTTCCCCCCAGATGCTGTGTGCTGCGGACCCGCCTGGGGTTCATGGAGTGGGCCACGGGGCCCAGCCCTGAGCACTGCTGTACCCAGGCTCGCCGTGCCTGCTGCTGAGGAGTCCCCGCGCTGCTGGCTCTCACCATTGCCCTCGCCTGCCGATGGCCTCTGCTGCCCAGCCTGGGGCCAGCTCTACCGCCTGAGCCCCCTGCCCCCCTCCAGGACTCACCGTACCCCGATGGGGTAACGTGACAGAGGCCCCGCACGTCAGAGGCCGCTGTCCCCACGGCCGCTGCCCGTGACCCCTGGCCCAAGGCTGCTGGAGTTGGTTCAGTTCAAGTTCATTCTTCCTTTGGCCCTTGGGGGCTTGGGGCCCACCTCTGAGTGAAGGGGGCTGTCTGCCCAGCCACCGATGTGGAGAGAGCGCCCCCAGCGTGGGGTCCAGCTCTGGACGCTGCTTGGCGGCCGGATTCTCTTTGGGCTTTTAAGTTTTCTTTGCTGAGCTTTTTTTGGTTGTTCTTTTTATTTTTTGCCTCTTTATGACTATCCAGCTGTGAGAGACAGGAGTTTGGCGTTGCCCGCTTTACTTTGGGCGGGGAGGGGGCTGTTTTTCCTCTTTTCTTTTTTAAGACTTGGGTTTTCTTTTTTAATTATCCAAACACTGGGCAGCTTCCTCCCCCACACCTAAGTATTTGCACAATATTTGTGCGGGGTATGGGGGTGGGTTTTTAAATCTCGCTTTTCTTGGACAAGCACAGGGATCTTGTTCTCCTCATTTTTGGGGGGTACGTGGGGACTTCTCAGGACGTGTCCCCAGCCTTCTGTGCAGCCCCTTCTGCCCTGCCGGGCCTGTTGGGAGGCGCCATGGCTCGGATGAACCGCCCGGCCCCGGTGGAGGTGAGCTACAAACACATGCGCTTCCTCATCACCCACAACCCCACCAACGCCACGCTCAGCACCTTCATCGAGGTGAGTGGAGACGGAGGTGTGGCAGGCAGGGGGCCCAGGTATCTGGGAAGCCCGGCTGAGCTGCCTGAGGCCTCCCAAGAGGGGTCCCCAGCCCCCGCTGGCCAGACAGGGCTCACAGCCTTGAAGCAAAGCCCAGTCCCCGTTGCAGGATCCTGGAGGAGGGACATGGGGGTATCCTGGGGGTCAGGGGTGAGGGTGTCGGGGGATCAACTGGGTCCCCTGGGAGGCCTGCAGGGGGCTGGCATGTGATAGGAGGGACTCCATGCCATGTGGATAGAGGCAGGGGGTGAGGCGGGGGGATACATGGGCCAGGCTCTGCGTGCTCAGCCGTGGCCTGGGCTGAGGCCCTCCCCAGCCCTTTGCTGTCCTTTTGACCTCTGTGCTTAGGCTGAGCGGGCAGGAGGTGCCCTGGTATGAGAAGTGGCTGCTTAATGGGGAAACAGGCAGACGGGGGACGAGTATGCAGGGCGGCTCCATGGCTAGCCCAGGCTTCCACACGCTGCTGGGCTCTGGGTGAGACCTCAGGTTAGACGAGGCTGGACAGGGGGCTTCAGGGCCCAGATCTCTATGTGAGGAGGGACTGAGCAAAGGTCAGCACTGACCACAGGAGGGAGGGACCGCTGTGCCCTGGAGAGCCAGCAGAGGTGCCTGCCACTGGCAACCCTGGCAGGTGGGACCAGATGCATTGACAGAAGCTATCTTGGGAGTGGAGTCTGGAGAGACCTGTGTGGCCTCCTAGAGGAGCCTGGTCTCTGCAGAGCGCCCTGCTGTTTGCAGGCCTGGGGCCATTTGCAGAGTCTGCTGCGGTGTGTGGGGCCGTTGACAGCCTCTGACTGTGCCAGCTGTGTCAGAGGCTGCAGCTGTGTGCAGGGTCATTTATGACTGAGTCCTTTCCCCTGTGACATGAGATAAGCCATCATGGTCTTGTCATAATGAAACAGGGATTTGGGCATGAGAGGGTATTGAGAACTGTAGAGCAGCAGGACGCATTGGGCACCCTGCCATCAGGGAGCCTGGACCCTGGACACTGAGCCAGGTGCCCTACAGAAGATGGCTGTCCCTCTCACAGCTGAGACCCTTGAGATAACAGCAGGATGTACAAGAAAGATTGGTGAGAACATCATGATGAGTGGCCAGGGTCAGTCCTCAGAATATGACTGGGATCAGGGTTAAGCCTGTAACCAAGGTCAGGTCTCAGTGTGTGACCAAGGTTGGGACTCTGTGTGTGTCCAGGATCAGCACTCAGTATGTGACCAAGGTTGGGGCTCAGTGTTTGACTAGGATCAGTGCTCATGTGTGACCAGGGTCAGGGTTTGGTGTGTGTCTGGGATCAGGGCTCAGTATGTGACCAGGATCGAGGCTCAGTGCGTGTCCAGGATCAGGGCTCAGTGTGTGACCAGGATTAGAGCTTAGTAGGTCAGCAGGGTTAGGGAGGGCTCAGCCTGTGACCAGGGTTAAGGCTTAGTCCAGGATCAGGGCTCAGTGTGCGACCAAGATCAAGGCTCAGTATGTGACCAGGATCAGGGCTCAGTATGTCACCAGGGTTGGGGCTCAGCATGTGACCAGGATGAAGGCTCACAGGTGTGTGACTGTCAAGGCTCAGGATGTGACTGGGATCAGGGCTCAGTGTGTGACCAGGATCAGGAAAGGCTCAACCTGTGACCAGGGCCAGGGCTGAGTCCTAGGCTGGGTGGCCATTCCCTCTGCTGAGGGTGCAGAGGGCCTCTGAGGTACCCCACGGCCAGAGAGCCCAGCACCCCGCCTGCTCCCTGCATTCTCAGATAGTTGGGTACTGGCCTCTCTCTGTTCTAGGTACCCGTCCCGTGACCAGCAAGACCCAGCAGCTGATTCCTCACCCCTCCCAAAATAGCTGTGAGAGCAGGTGGGGTGGGAACAGCCCTCACATGTGACCCCCGTGAAGTGGATCCCCCGCAGTGGGGGTATAAATATCGGCCTGGCTGTGAACTCCCACGACCTTTTCCCTGGTCGTGTGGGGCTTCCCTGGTGGCGTGCAGGGCCCAGCTCCCTCCTGGCTGCCATCTGAGTGGTGCCCACCCTCCCTGCTCTGAGGTGCCCCAGCTGACGCCCGCCCCTCTTAGACCCCAAAGTCCCCCTGGACTGGACCCATCCCTGCGGCTCAGCTGGGGTCGCTGCTCAGATGCAGGGGCTCACATGTGGACTGGCGGGTCCAGTTCCTGCTGCGGGGACCCAGTAGCTTTTCTGGAAGAAATGTCCTTGCTGGTAGATGTGGGGTCCTGAGCACCCCAGAGGAGGGAGTGGTGTGCTGGGGAGCTGGGGTCCCAGCTGCCGGTGACCATGAATGTAGGTGGGTCACCTTTGCCTTTGCTGGGTGGCCCAAGGGACCTGGGACAGGCTCTTTCACACCCAGACACCACCTTGACCAGTCGCGGAGCCCAAAGTCCACTCTTGGTGGGCCTCACTGCATCAGGGTCTGCCTGGCTGGAGGGTGACATGCCCTTCCCTGGGGGCTTCAGGGACCATGCCTCTGCCCCAGGGGACTGAGGGGACAGGATTCCACCCCGCGAGGTCTGAGGGGCCAGGGCTCCACCCCGAAGGGTCTGAAGGGACATGTCCAAGTCCTGGGTGACGGTGGGGGACACAGCTGTGCCCTGGGAGCCCTGGTGAGTGGGTCCTGCTCCCTGAGCACTACAGCCCCAGCCCAGCCCTGCCTCCTCCGTCCTCCCCCCTCAGGACCTGAAGAAGTACGGGGCCACCACCGTGGTGCGCGTGTGTGAAGTGACCTATGACAAAACGCCGCTGGAGAAGGACGGCATCACAGTTGTGGTGAGGCGCGCGCCACGGGGACCCTGGCCACGGGGACCCTCGTCGCTGCTGCCACCGGGGGAGGGTGGGGCGGGGGGCTCTGGGCCTGCACAGAGGGTTTGGTGCCCCTCCTGTGGCAGCCCCGGACATGTTTGTGCCTGGGCCACGTGTGTGTCTGGGTACATCAAGGGAAGGCCAGGGTGTTGGGCCTTGTGACCTCAAGAAATTCACCCTTATGTACCCCATCTTTCTGTCTCTAGATCGGGCCAGCCTGGCTCGCCAGGCAGGGGTGGCTGGCACGTGCTTGGTGCATGGGCCAAGGTGGGGGTTGGGCTCCTCCGCCTGTCTCAGACCCTCCTCCCGTCCTGTCTTGGGTCCATCTCAGTCTCTGCCCGGGTGGCTGCGGCCCTGTTGCCAGGCAGCAGGTTCCTGGGGAGGACCCTTGGGCAGTTTCCTTGGCTCCTTTGGCCCTGGGGACCCAGGTCTGGGCGGGGTGTGGGGCGGTTCTGCTGCCGTATCCTTGGGGGGTGGGCCACAGCAGCTGCAGGCCCAGAGCCGGCCCCAGGGCAGGGGGGTCCACCCCCGGCCTGGTAGACGACTGCCCCTGGTGCAGGCCCGCCCAGCTGCATCCGGGCCTGTCTCCTCAGTGCGGAGCTTGAATGACCCCTCAGTCACTGCTTTTCATCCCAGGACTCTGCTTTTGGCTGTGGTTGCTGTTTCATAACCTCAGCTTGGCGGTTTGGAGTGGTGGCAGTGCTGCCACTTTGGGGTCAGATAGGCCTTGGGCTGCGTCCCGCCTCTGCCCTCCCCAGCCTTGTGACACTGCAGGTCACTCCGAGCCTTGGGTTCCTCAGCTCAAAGCGGGGCTGCTTGGGAGAATGGGAGGTGAAGGCGTGTCCCCGCTTCTCGCGTGGGGTGCACCCACACCCTCCTTCCTCTTCCACAGCAGCGGGAGGGATTGGGGTCAGACGTAAGTAGCCGTGCAGACCACTTGTCTCTAGGAGTTGCCCTGCCTGGAGGCTGGGGAGGGGTGAGATGCCCCCAAAGGCTGCGTGCCTGCTCAGTGGGCCCAGCGGGCTCTCCCTGGCACCAGACAGCCCCAGGCCTGGCACAGTCCCGGGGCCCTGCACGAACTCTCTTTCCCAAGACTGAAACGTGTCCATTCCCACCGCAGCGCTCTGGCCCGGGCCCTCCCCTGGGGAGACTCACTTGCCCACCGATCCAGGGCGCTGGGGAACGGGACAGTGGGAAGCACAGGTCATCTTCTAAGACCAAATTAACCCCCAGGAACAATGGGCCGGGGTCCCAGTGGAACCGCCTGTTTCGAGTGCCCTTGGAAACATGGGCCCTGTCTCGCCCCATAACCCTGTCTTCAGTCCTTCCTGGCACCTGGGCTGTGTGTGGCACGTGCCAGCCGTCTTTGCATGCCACCACAGGGGACTAGACCTCTTGCACCAGCCGACCCAAAACCTGTCAGGCTGCCGCCGGCACACAGGCGTGAGGGATTGTGACCCCAGAACCGGAGCTCGGGCTGACAGGTGTGGGGATTGGATTTGTGTGACTCTGGACGAGGCTCCAGTCAGAAAGGGGTGGGGTGGTCTAGGAAGGCTTCCTGGAGGAGGGGACAGCTGCAGTGTACAGGGAATGATGAGGAGTCTAAAGCACCCACCATGGGGTGCCCATGGCCAAACTGTACGCCTCCTGTGTGCCCTCTGGATCTGCTGCCCCCACCCTAGCGGGCTCCTGGGACCCTCTGCCTCTCAGAGCTCCCTGTTCTCGCCTGAGCCCCAGGGCCACCTCTCCACTCTCCCGCAGCTGGGGGTCCTCATGTCGCTTCCCTCCGCAGGACTGGCCGTTTGATGACGGGGCGCCCCCACCCGGCAAGGTAGTGGAAGACTGGCTGAGCCTGGTGAAGGCCAAGTTCTGTGAGGCCCCTGGCAGCTGCGTGGCTGTGCACTGCGTGGCGGGCCTGGGCCGGTGAGTGTCGGGGCAGGGTGGGGCTCGCCGTGTCAGGTGGTTGGGCATCTCGTGGTCTGATAGCCTCGCTTTTGGATGTGGGTCTTGAACACACGTCCATGCGACCTTCCCAGGAGGCCCGTGCCCCAAGTACTGGGGCTCCCAGACTGGTCCTCTCCCAGCATCACAGAGAGGAAGTGCTTCCCAAAGTCTAACCCAACTTCTTCCTGCTGTGGTTGTAACCATCCCGACATCTTGTTCAGGAAAGGCTGTCGTCCCCCTCTCCAGACACAAAGACCCACCCCCACACAGCTGGGGCCTCAGACCCCTGCTGGGAGAACGGGAGGAAGAATGGCAGCTGGGATCAGATGAAATGACCAGTGGGACAACCCCATCCGCAGAGGGAAGCCTAGGCGAGCAGGGTTGATAGCAGGCACGGATCCAGCTCTTAGCACTTCACCCGGGAGCCCTTATTTAACCCTCCCCCAGCAGATCGCAGAGAGGTTGCCTAGGAGGAAGCCAGGATTTGGACCCAGTGCTCAGGCTGGGCTCTGAGGCTGTGGCCTCCATGGGGGAGCTTCAGGCAGCAGGGAGTCTGGACCCCTAGGGCCCCCGTGCCCTGCGTCTTCAGCAGGTGCCCTGCCAAGGGGACAGGGGTGCGCAGGCTCCGAAGACCCCGGCCCTTCTGTTTGCCCCCAGGGCTCCAGTCCTTGTGGCGCTGGCCCTCATCGAGAGTGGGATGAAGTACGAGGACGCCATCCAGTTCATCCGCCAGTGAGTGGCCGAGATGGCGGGGTGGGCTGTGAGCGCTGGGGGAGGGGAGCTCTGGCTGCCCACGAAGGGTGTTGGTGTTGACTGTGTGGTTCTGTTGCCCTGAGGCTGCGTCGCTCAGCACAAGCTGGGACTTGCTGCAGAAACGGGGAAACCCGAGGTGTTTCTAATGGGTGGGGACAACAGCCCCTGAGGGACCATGTAGCCACGCAGGGACACAGCGAGGCCACTCGCCATGCCGTCCTGCCCTCCCTCCACAGACGGAGCTCCTTCCTTCCCAGCCATCCTGACGGGGGTGGAAGGACCCTCAGCCAGCCGGTTCAGTCCCTCCATGAAAAACAAGAGCCTGAAACCCCATACCACACCGTGTCCACCCCTAGGGACGCTCACACTGGGCTAGTGTCTCAGAGCTGCTCTGAGTCCAGCTGCTCACCACCCCTTCCCCTCAACCCTGAGCTCTCCAGCTCAGCCCCTCCCCGCCCTCCTTGGAGGCTTCCAGTCCAGCTGGCCTGCCCCATCCCTGTCACTTGGTGGCCTCCCTGGGGAAGGCTGCCATCTGCCCACTGCCCAGGGGGTCCTGGGGGAGTCTGACCGGGACAGCAGGGCCAACTCTGGAGGAACGGATGCGGCACCTGAAGCCTGCCCCTGCCCAGCCCACCATGTGCGTGCCCATGAGTGCCACACACCCGTGCTACTTGGACAGGCTTGGCTAGCGAGGCCATCTCTTCCTCCCAGAGGTAGGCTTGTTCCCGGCCATACTGGCTGGCCAGCCCTGCGGGTCCGTGCAAGAGCGTGGCCTGCCTTGTGGGTCTGTGTGGGAGCGTGGCCTGCCCTGTAGGTCTGTGTGGGAGCATGGCCTGCAGGTGCTCAGGTCTCCTTGGGGGCCCTGGGATGTGCACGCTCACACACAGACACGCATGGGGGTCATGCAGGCACACACATAAGTACACGTGTGCACACACAGATCCAGACATAGGCAGGCACACACGTACAGGCAGGTGTGTGAACACAGGCACATACAGACAAGTGGGTGCACACGTAGACACACATGGATGCACTCAGGCACGTACACACGTGTGCACTCATACATGACATGCATTTTCACACATGCGGGTGCACACAGGTGAGCACGTTCCCTGGGGCCTCTCCTGACCCCACGTCTCACCGAGCCAGGGCTTGTCTCTCCCTTGTGGTTTTTGCTGTGTGGCTCCCTGCACCTGAAGCTGCGCTGGTCAGGACAGGTTGGGCGGTGCTGCAGAAATGGCCAGGCCCAGAACAGCATGGGTGTTTCTTGCCCCTGTTGCGTGTCTGTGGGTGGGGGCCCTACGCGGAGGCCTGGCTGAGGGCTGCGCCTTCCCCAGCCTGCCGGTGGCTGGGCAGAGGAAGCGAGCATGTTGGAGCCACACGGGGTGCCTGCAGCTTTGCTGGACAGAGACTCCTTGCGCTACTTCCGCTCCCACTTCCTTGGCCAGGGCCAGCCCGTGGGCACGCCTGAGGCCATGGCGGGTGAGGATGGATGAGTCTCCAGAGGCGCTGGGTGGGCAGCCCCAGGCCCCGGACGCCTGTCACCTCAGGGTCTCTCAGGTGTGGCTGCAGCATCCTCTCCTCCAGGAAGTCTTCCTGTCCACCCCAGCCCAGGTACCTGTGGTCAAGGACCAGGTGGCAGGGACAGGGTGAGCACATAGCCCAGGTCCCCGCTGTAAGGACCAGGTGGCAGGGACAGGGTGCGCACACAGCCCAGGTCCCCGCTATAAGGACCAGGTGGCAGGGATGGTGGGGACAGGGTGAGCACGCAACCGAGGTCCCTGCTGTAAGTGAAGGTCGTGTAGCTGGGCTGGAATTCTGGGCTCAGCCCCTCCCTTTCTCACAGGCCCCCCCTTCCTGGATGGTAGAGGTGCCCAGACACCACCCTTGTTGCCTGCTCATGGCCTTGGGGTGGGTCCTACCCATCTGGGGAAGCCTGGGGGCCGTAGGGAGCCCAGAGTCAGCCTGGAGGAGGTGGCGCTTTGGTGAGTTTGGAAGGCAAGCAGGGGTAAGCTGCAGGAGGCCAGGAAAGGGTGACTGTGACTCTGGGAGCAGCCGTGGCAAGGCCCTGGGATGGGAGGGGCTTGGCCAGCCGCAAGGCCTTACTCCAGCTCACTGCACTCTCAGCTTCCAGCTCCCTGGGACAGGTGAGGTGGCCGAGCCAGGGCCTTGGATGAACCCTGTCCCTGTCCCCCTCTTCCCAGGAAGCGCCGTGGAGCCATCAACAGCAAGCAGCTCACCTATCTGGAGAAATACCGGCCCAAACAGAGGCTGCGGTTCAAAGACCCACACACGCACAAGACCCGCTGCTGTGTCATGTAGCTCAGGACGTTGACCGGGCCTGGTGGCCCTGCCCAGCCCTGCTCTGCCCAGCCCAGCAGGGGCTCCAGGCCTTGGCTGGCCCCACATCGCCTTTTCCTCCCCGACGCCTCCGCGCACTTGTGTCCGAGGAGGCCCCTGGCCTGTGTGGCCTCTGGGCCTTCTCCTGTCTCTGCCGCTCCCTCTGGCAGCGCTGGCCGTGGCTCTGTCTTTCCGAGGTGGGTCAGGCGCCCTCTTCCCTGGACCCCCGCCCGCCCCCTCCCACACCAGCCCAGGCCGGTCTCCTCTGGCCTGTTTGTTGCAGGGCGGGGGTACATTTTGTAACCACTGGGCCCCCCCAGCCCGTCTTCTGCGACCCTTGCCCTGACCTGTTCTCGGCACCTTAAATTATTAGACCCCAGGGCAGTCAGGTGTTCTGGACACTCGAAGGCAATAAATCAGGAGCCGTGGCGTGGCCGTGTGTGTGTGGAGTGGGCTGAGGCGTCAGGCGGGGCGGGCCGGTGGCCTGGGGGCCCTCGGAGGGCTCCGGAGGCCACTGTCGGGATGCTGGGCCACTGCCCAGAATGGGGCTCCCGCGTGCTCCTACGCTGCCCTCTGGTGGCCGCTCTGGGTCCCTGCACCCCGACCCAGGGGCCGGTCTGCCTTGTCTTGAAACCCAGGCGGGAGCCCTGCTTTGGGCGGGGTGGCCGTGTTGACGGTTCTCGGGACTGTGACATTAGAAGGCGAGGTGGGTCACCAGCATTGTCCTCTGCAGGATGGGCTGGGATTCATTTGGCAGTTCCTCAGGGCCTGTGTCCGGCGGGTTGGTCCCTGTCCTGCCCCAACCAGGTGTCCACATTTCAGGCTCCGAGGCGCAGAGAAGGGTGCAGGTGGTGGCCAGGTGGAGGAAGGCTCCATCCATCAGCCCGGGGAGGGAGGGTTCCTCCTGGGCACCTGGGGCTGGATGTGAGAGGCCTGGACCGGGGCCTGCTGGAGGGCGTGGACTGGATGCTCGTGTGTTCCTGGGTGCTGTGTCTGTGTTGGTGGCTGGCCCCACCCTAGGCCAGGGTGCACGGCGGGCATGGCCCCCGCTGGGAGGAAGGTGGGCCTGGGGCTGGCCCCACCCTAGGCCAGGGTGCACGGCGGGCATGGTCCCCGCTGGGAGGAAGGTGGGCCTGGGGGCTGCTGCCCTCGAGCGGTTTTGGGAGAGCCTTTTTTTAGGAGTCGAGCTCTTCCTGCGGGCCCCAGGAGGTTCCAGCGCAAGAACGCATGGGGTCCGGGTCTGGAGGAGCGTCGGTGGATTAAGGATGGGAGATGTGGAAACCACCAAGAGCCTTGTCAAGCAAGCCCTGACCTCCCAAGACTGGACACACTAAGGGGGCCACAGACCTGGCTTCCCCCAACTCCTGTTGGAGAAAGGGCAAAGCTGGTTTTGTGTTATCCCGGATGTACTCTCTTCTCCTAAAGCTTTGGAACTCAATAAATCGATGGTTGTTTGGGGTGAGTTTGCTGCTAGTTTTTTCAATTCCACCAGCCAAGTTTTTGGGTCACCTCTGCTGGCCCTTAGTAGCCCTGTCCTTGCCCTCAAGAGGCTCCAGGTCTAGGAGAGTTGCGGGGAAAGGGCAGGTGGTAAGCCTCCAGTTACAGCTAGGCGGTGTTCCACCTCGGCTATGTGGGGAGCGCATGGAGGCGGGGCCTTTGGGGATTACTTCCACCGTTGGGGCTGGGAGGACAGGGATGCAATGGAAGGTGGGCTTGGGGTGCTCCACCTTGGTGGGGCAGGGTTACAGGGGTTGGAGGAGGGGCCTGGGGGGCCAGTGCAGAAATACAGGCGGGAGGTGGGGGAGATGGTCCATGTGGAAGGAGCGCCTGAGCTGAGTGTGGAGTAGGGGTCAGCACTGGGCCAGGAAAGAACTAAAGGTGCTCTATCATCCGATGGGTGGAGGTGGCTGTGCCTGGCAGAATCCCCAGACAGGCAGCGTGGGATGAGAGCCAGGCAGAGCCCTGAGGAGGTCTCAGGAGCTGTGTTGGACCCGGCCAGTGGAAACCCAGGCAGGTGGACCCCAGGCCAGGTGGACCCCAGGCCAGGTGGAAACCCAGGCCAGGTGGAAACCCAGGCCAGGTGGACCCCAGGCCAGGTGGAAGGTTGGGCAGGTAGGTTTCCTGGTGGCTCTCTGGGAGTCCAGGTACCTGCCTCTGGACTCATCCCTCCAAGGGTCTTGGGAGAAAGGTCTTACTGCCCATTTTACAGATGGAACAGCTGAGGCTCAGAGAGCCAAGACTCCTGCCTCAGGCCACAGTGTGTCCAGGGTGGGCCTGGCTGGTTCTGCTGCTAACCCTGAATGGACTGAGAAGGATGTTGATGGGGGTGGAGGGAGACATTGGGGTCCCGACTGAGGGAACTCCGTCCCACCATCAGCCCCCAGCCACTGTGGCGCATCAAGCTGGAGACAGACTGAAGATTGAGCAGCCACCCTGGGTGGAAGCTGCCCTCGATTCGAGGGCCTGCCCAGCCCCCAGGACCCTGGGACCCCGGCAGGCTGTGGCTTGGGCTCAGGCCCCAATCAAGGGGACCCTGCCTCCAGGAGTGGACGGGCGTCCACCTGCAGGGCGCTTCACGGACTTCACAGCTTGTCTCTGTCCCCGGGACCTGACCCTGAGTTTGTCCCCAAGTCCTGCCAGTGTCTCCTGGGGCTTGGCTTGGTCACAGCAGAAGGGCCCCTGGTGGGCAGGGAGCTGACACGCATCAAGCTGCTTTGTTGAATCTAGATCTTTCTTTCAAATGGAAAAACGTTATGCAACCAAGCTCTATGGGGGGCAGATGGGGCAGGGCTGACCAGGTGGGCACAGCCGGGGGAAGGCCGTTGGGGAGGATGGCCGGAGGTCACTGCTTGGGTCTGGCCGACACCTTTTGGAGGAAGGAGAGCTGGCTGGTGGCAAATTCCCGGATGCTGGGCTCGGGGTCGCTTTTGAGATGTTCAAAAGCTCCAGAAGAGGAGGAGCAGGTCAGAGGTGACCCCAGCCTGGGAGCAGGTCATTGGTGACCCCAGCCCGGAGCAGCCCCTTTACCCCAGCCCGGGAGCAGGTCAGAGGTGACCCCAGCCGGGAGCAGCCCCTTTACCCCAGCCCGGGTGGGGTGGGGTGGGGAGGGGTGGGGTGGGGTGGGGTGTGGGGGGTGGGTGGGGCCGGCTCAGACCCCACCTCCTGTGACTCCAGGCCTGGGTTGCTTCCCTCCACTACTCACCCACCACCCCCATTCCCCGGCCCCTTGTTCTATTGGTGCCATGAGGCAGCTGTGGAGTGGGTGTGAGCCTCAGGCCCCAAGTGCCCTGATGGGGGCCTGAGGAGGGGAAGGGTCAACCTCAGCCTCAAGACATGAAGGTGGGATGGGGGCTGGGCACTGCTCAGGAGGCCTGTGTCTTTGTCCTGATGCTGGGTATGGGGGCGGGGGTTCCCCTCTGGGGCCTCAGTCTTGCTGTCGGTGCCATGGGTCTGAAGAGCGCTGGGCAGGGGTGGGAGGGTGTGGGCTGCGGGGGCTCTGGAGGGAGGGCTGCTTACTGCACAATAGCAGGTTGATGTCCCCGGCGTTCAGCATCTGGAACACGGCCTGGGGATGGCAGCAGATGGTGTGGCCTGTGCGACAGACGGGCAGCTGGCAGCTCGGGCTCCCTGTCTCCTGGGGGGCTCCAGCCCATCCCTCCACCCCTGCCCCTCTTCAGCCCCAAGCCCCTCCTCATCCACCCCCTTTCCTCTCTTGTGGGCGGTGGGTCAGGGAGGGTCAAGGGTGTTTGGGTGGGGCAGGCCTGGGGGTCTCCAAGCCCGGCCCTGCCCCCCGCACCTATGAAGAGCACCGCCCAGGTCTTGATGTGGCAGGAGTGGCTGTGCAGGTAGCTGAGGGCCTGTGACAAGTGGATGCTGAATTCCTCCTGGCTGCGGGTCATCTGGCCGGAGGAGAGCACACCTGGCTGGGGCGGGTTGGGGGGCCCTGGGGATACCAGGGTCTGCCCAGCCCCTGGAGCTGCCATAGCAGCTGTGTGTGAGACGGGAGTGAATGGGGAGCCGCAAGCCTGGTCCCCACTCCCTGGCCCTGTTCCTCCCCACCGATCCCAGGCCCCTCACCAGGCAGGTCCAGAGGAAGTGGCGGGCGCTGAGGCCCCTCTCCCAGGCCAGCGTGCAGAAGAGGGTGTGCCGCAGCCGCCAGCGGAGAAGCACAGCACAGCGGTAGAAGGTGAACTTGGCCCGCTGCAGGGACAGGCGTGGAGGGTCACCCACCGTGTCTGAGCCCTTTCCCCTAGAGACCACAGGCCTCCGTGGGCACTGGAGGCAGCCTGCTGTGGGGGTGTTCCCTGGCTCTGTCCTGCTTGTGCCCCTTGGCAAGCCTCCGGGACCCTGGCAACAGCACCTGGCCCCCCGGAGCCCAGGCTGGCCTGCCCGCCGCCCTGCCCCTGCGTCTGCCCCTTCCACGGTTGCCTCTGCCCCTTCCACTGTTGCCGCGTATCTTTTTCCCCATGGCAGGGAGACCTGCAAGGCCAAGTTGTGACTTCATGGGCTGTGCACACGGCGTGTGCTGGCACAGCAGGCAGGGTGCAGTCCATTTTCACACAACCTCTGTGAACTGCTGCACCCCCCGCCCCGTGACAGGCACTGGGGGCACAGCAGTAAGCAGAAAAGACCAGGTCGTGCCGCATTGACGGCAAGCCTCGCTTGCATGCGTGGGTGCATCGGGGAGCGGGCAGGCCAACTGTGGCCAGAGAAACCAGTGCAGGTGGCCAGACCCTCTGCCCACCACTTGCTGCCCTGTGGGAGCTCCCCCAACTCTCAGGCAGCCCTGCTGCCATCCATCTGCCCTGTCCTCTGGCCACCTGTGGGCCCCAGCCCTGGCCAAGGTGAAGGCCTACCACCTGCCTTTCCTGGGGTGGGCACTGACCGTGGTGACAGCTGGGCATTGATCCTTCAGGTGGAGGAGCAGGGGCACCATGCTCTGGTGCACCTGGGTCCGCAGGCCACTCAGCTCCCTGTCTGCCATGGCCGCCACCAGGTCCCCGAACAGTGCCATGGCTGCTGCCCGAATCCTGTCCCGCTCCTGCAAGGAGGAGGCTCAGAGGCACGGCCAGACCTGTCTAGGGGCCCCAGCTTTTGTCCAAGTTGGGATCCCACACCTCATTGTAGGGGTGTAACTCAGTTCCTTCTGCAGGATTCCTTCACCCAGGCTCTTGGCTCCCGGGGAAGGGCTGGGGCTCCCTGCTCACACAGGGCTCTCTGGCGTCCCTGAGGACGTAAGAATCACATGTCCCTTCTACTCACAACTCCATCCTGGCAGCCCAGGCCTCATGAATGCATTTGAGGGGTGCCTGTCCCCCTGATTTCCCAGTGAAGGAAAAACAGCCACACTAACCATGCTGACATGTCAGAAAGTTACATCTGGGTAAGCCTGTTGTGGGGCCAGAGACCAGTGCACTTGGAGACTGAACGTAAGAAATAGTTCAGCCCTGTGGTGAAGGGGCAAGCGCCAGGGACCCACCCAGCCCACCTGCACAGTGCCCACCTCAACTGAGGGCCACAAGCGGGCAGCTCCCCTGGGCCTGGGCCTCCCTGCCTGCAGCTTGGGGTCCCCCCTGCCTGCAGCTTGGGGTCCCCCCTTTGGCAGAGGAAGAGAGCTGGGTTGGGAGGAGGGTCCTGAAGGGCGTGAGCAGGAGGTAGCCCCGCCCTGCCCCAGTGCTCACATCATTAAAGAAGGAGCGTGCACTGATGGCAACACTGAGGCTCTGGCTCCCTGCGCCCTGTGCGCCCAGTCGGTGCAGCATGTCTGACACGGTGTCCATGATGCACACGATCACCTGCTCGCTGCTCTGGAAGAAGCCGTTGAGGAAGGGCCGCAGCTGTCCCCGGAGCAGGCTTCCCTGGGGGTGGTGGCGGCTGGTGGGCAGAGAGCACCAGGACCCGCTGGCCCCATGCCCCACCTCACCCTCCCAGTTGCTCACCTCACCCCATCTGCACCGCGGGCTGGGGGGTGGTGATTCAGAGCTGTGGGTTCCGGCCTGGCCCTGCCCGCCACGGGGAGCTGTGCCCCTACCTGGGCTTTGTCCACCAGGAGCTGTGTGGCCTGGACAGGGTGGCCTCTTTTCTGAGACAGGGTCTCACTCTGTCACCCAGGCTGGAGTACAGTGGTGTGGTCATAGCTTACTGCAGCCTTGACCTCCCAGGCTCAAGCAATCCTACATAGCGTCCTGAGTATCTGGGACTACAGGTGCATGCCACCTGACTTTTTGTTTTTGCTTTTGTTTTTGGTAGAGATGGGGTCTCACTATGTTGCCTAGGCTGGTCTCAAACTCCTGGGGTTGAGCAATCCACCAGCCTTGGCCTCCTAAAGTGTTGGGATTACAGGTGTGAGCCAACACATTCGACTTGTCTTTTTTTTTTTTAAATTAATTTTCAGCCAGTTCTGTCTGCTCCACTTGACTGCGTGTTTGCAGTGAGTTCCTGAGTTACCGGGATGAATGGTCAGAAAGCAGTGTGCCCACCAATGGATGTTTCCTGCCATTGGGCCCCTTAGCAGTGACTTGTGTGCAAACCAGGGTGATTTTTACAACTTTTAAACAAGTTTATAGCAACTTTGTTGGCTTTCAAAGCTGTTTGCTTTGAAAATATTAAATTCATTTTCAGCAAGTGAGTCATTCAACAGACACACTTTGTGAACATCTGTGTGTGCAGCCCGTGCTTGAAGACCAGGGTTCTGGCCAGGTCAGAACAGGACAACAGAATGAAATTGTAACGGAAATGGCGAGAAAAGAAAATAAAAATGCATAGCTTGGCCTAGTTCCGCTCAGTGAGAGTGCAGCGGGGTGGCCTGCCCCAACCACACCTGGTTCAGCCTGCACATCTCCAAGCCGGCAGGCCTCTTTGGCTGGCAGTGCTCTCAGGACCTGTCTCCTCTGGCCTGCTGTGGCTGCTCGCCCACATCCCACCTGATGCCAGGTGGGGAACCACTCCCTCTTCTCTGGACCTGGTCCTCCTGATCTAGCAGGGCCCTTCTTTGCCTTTCTGTATTGCCTGTATTCAGTGCAGGGTACAGGGGAGGCACATGGAAACTTCCCACTGATCATCTCTCTGCCTGGGAGAACATTTGGTGCAGATATAACCAAACACTGAATGAATGAATGAATGAATGAATGAATGAGGGAGCAAACATGTAAATAACTGATTGAGTGAATGAGTAGACATATAAAGAATGAACAAAATAAATATTGCAAGAATGACTCATAGATGAAGGACCCGAAGAACAAGTGGGTGGGTGGAGGGATATGTGGCTGGATGGGGGGATGAATGGATGGATGAATGGAGGGATGGATGGAGGCATGGATAGAGAGATGAATGGGTGGGTCGATGGTTGGATGGATGGAGGGATGACTGGAGGAATGAATGGATGGGTGGATGGATGGAGGCATAGGTGGAGGGATGAATGGGTGAGTGGATGGATAGGTAGGTGAATAGTTGGATGGTGGTTGGATGGATGGTGGCATGGATGGAGAGAGGAATGGATGGGTAGGTGAATAGCTGGATGAATGTGTGGGTGGATGGTTGGATGGATGGATGAGTGGAGGGATGAATGGGTAGGTGGATGGGTGGGTGGATGGATGGATGGGAAGATGATTGGGTGGATGGATGGATGGAGGCGTGGATGGAGAGATGAATAGATGGGTAGGTGAATAGCTGGATGAATGGGTGGGTGGGTGGATGGATGAAGGATGGAGGGATGAACAGATCAATGAGGAAGTGCTATCTAGTCTCCATCTTCCATTAAGCACCTACGATGCATCATGCACAATGCAAAGGGCTTTGCCAACTGTGACCCTAATGGAGGTCAGTCTTCTTAACCATGTGAAGACCTGTGATTGGAGGAGAGTCAGAGTGAACTAGTCTGCTAGGCAAATGACTTTGGGATCTCTTTGGAAACGGCCCCTTCTGCTGCCTTCCCATGATCACACTTTTCTCCCACAAGCCCTGAAAATATTTATGTTCATAACATCCTTCTCCAGCAACAACAGAAATAGGGGCTGGGCATGTCGCCTTCCCTCTGGGGTCCTAATGCAGCCCTGGGGTGGATGAGGGGAGGCTAAGGCTCCACACTTCCTGATCAGGTGAGAAAATCTCCGCCTTGAACTCAGCGTTTTCATGGTGCAGAGTCAGCCAGGTAGGAAGTTTGCTGCTGCTGCTGCTGCCAGCCAGTGCCTCTAGGGCTGACCGCGTGCCAGGGACTGGTCTCCGCATGGCACTCATGACCTGCCTACCACAAGAGGCAGGCACTATTACTGCTCCCATTTTACAGATGTGGTCACTGAGGCCTGGAGAGCTGACAAAGCCTGCCAGCTAGAAGGTGCTGCAGCGGGGATAGGTCCAGGGCCTGGACTCTTAACCACTGCCTGGTGCCCGGGTGCTGTGGGGGCTGCAGCTGGGGTAAGGCTAGATCCCCCAAAGGTGGCATTGCAGGCCTTCCCTCCCACAGCTGTCCATGATGGGATACGGGTTATTATGGTGAAGAGGTAGAATTGGCTGGGACTGGAGAAGTCAGCAATGGGTTGGAGAGGCCCATTCATCAGATTCTCAGAGGGCATTCTCCTCTCTGGGTGAGCCCTGGGATGCCACCTGGCGGGCTTCACGGTGGCCACCTGGAGGCCTGCAGCAAGGCCCCTCTCTCAGGTGTGGAGGAGACTGTCCCCGGGGAATAGATGCTTTGACCCCTCCCACAACCTGCCCCATTCTACGTATGAGGAAACAGGCCCAGAGAGGTGGAGTCAGCTGTCCCAAGCCACACCACCCAAAGTGACAGAGCTGGGATTCCAACCCTGTGGCCCTTGCCTACACCCGGTGCACTGGCTGTTCCGTGGGGTCGGATGTGCGCCAGAAGCCGTGTCCGACAGCCCTTACCTTATCTGGGTAGAAGAGGATGTTGCTTAGGCCCTGCAGACTCAACACACGGACCTCAGGGCTGGGGTCCCGGAGGCCTTGTGTCAGCACGGTCAAGGCGGCTTGTTTGGGAAGCACCTCCAGCAGGGCAGGGCTGTAGAGGAACTGGGGTGGCCCCCGGAGGGCAGGCAGGTCACTTTTTTGAGGCGCCTGCGTCTGTTGAGGAGTGGGGCTTTAGGACTGGGGTCCAGTGGGAGTTTCAGGGAGGGAGGTTGACCAGTGCCCTCTGGGTATCTTGGTTAACAAGTATTTGAAACCTACCTGGTGCAACCCCTCAATGTACAGCTGGGGAAACTGAGCCCCAGAAAGGGAAAGGGCCTTGCCTAAGGTTACACAGCGAGGTAAGGCCTCACTTGTTATCAAGAGCCAGGCTTGTGGGGCACCTGGGGATAGAGCTCCCATGGAGGGCGGCCCAGGCAGCTGGTGGGTGGGAGCTGGCATGAGGCTTTCGCTTGGGTTCCCCTACTAGTGTCAGTTACGGAAACAGCGCCCTCCTTGCCCCAGTCCCACCCCTGCCTGAGCTCACAGCTGCAAAGTGTGCCACGCCCAGCGGCATCTGCTTCTACCCATTCCCCTTTGGCTTCACCCTGAGTCCCACAGGCAGGACAGGGCTGATGTTGGAGCCTGGACCTACCTGAGTCTGCTCCCAGTGCCCCTTCAGCTCTGCAGGGATTGTGCCAGGGAGGGCCGAGTGGGGAGACAGGTTCCCAAAAGCTGCGGACCCCCTCCAAGGGCTGGGAGTGGGAAGGCAGGGGTACGAGGGGGTCTGTCTGGGTAGCCTCCCTGCTCAGGGTGAGCTCTGGCATGGGTTTTGCTGGGGTGTGAAGGAGGCTGGAGAAGGAGGCTCAGGCATCTGAGGTGCTCCCTGCCGGCCTGCACCCCTACCTCGGTGAGGATGAGGATGGCCACCTTCCTCTCACGCTCCTCTGGGCTCTGCAGGCTGGGCAGCAGCTGACGCAGCACCGCTCTGATCTGCCTGCAGTGATTCTGCACCATGGCCCTGCAGGGGTGGGCCTGGGCTGGTGGTCACTGCCCAGAGCCCACCCTCCTGCCCCCACCCATCTCATCAGGGCCAGCATCCCGGAGTGCCCCGACGTGGCGGGCACGTTTCCACTCGCTTTGCACTCACTGGCTGCCCACTGTGTGCCAGGCTTGGGCTGGACATGAAGCAGGCATAGCCCTTGTTCCCTAGGAGGTCACAGGCGAGGGTGAGGCCTGGGGGAAGATGCTGCATCAACGGGCTCTGAGTGTGTGTGCCTGTGACCGGGGGCAGGGGGCCGTGGCCTGTCGCTGCAGTCCAGATAGCCCCCTGGATGGGCGTGGCCTGAAGCAGGCTGCCTTGACCTGCCCTGGCCCCACCGTACCTGGCAAGGAGGCCCACGCCCTTCGGGTAGGTGTGGATGGTGGTGAAGAGCTCCCAGGATCCCTGCAGCTCCAGGTGGGCAAAGTCACGCCAGTGCCCCGTGGTGGACAGCAGGCTCTTCAGTACCTCCAGTGACGTGCTGCAGCTGAGCAGAGGGGGCTCAGGGCTTGCCTCAGGCCACAAGCGGCCCCCTGGGCCACCCCCTGCCCTGGGAAGGGTGCCCAGCTGACCCAGATAGAAAGGCACATTCTGGTTCCTGTGCCTGGCATCACTGAGGCCTCCTGGGGCTGCTCTCTCCTGCCCTGTTTTACGTGGAAATGCTGGGGCCTAGGATTGGCGGAGCTGGGCCGGGCACGGGGAGGCAGCGTGTGCCCAGTCAGACCCTGGGCCTTGCTTGGGCAGAGATCGGGGGTGCCCTTCTAGGGAGGGGCACCCTGCTGAAGGGCACCTGCCCTTCAGCTCGAGGATGGCAGCATTTAAATATGGGCGAAGAGTACGGAGGGTAGCAGCGGGCGAGGGCGCGGGAGAGCCAGGGCGTGTGGCATAGTGGAGCCCAGAGAAGTGTCCATTCTCCACTCCCGAGATTCCTCTGCCCTCAGAGGACATGGAGAAATGCGGCAGCACTGGCCCTCACTTGTGAGTGACGGAAAAAGATGCCGTGCATGGCTTGTGGTGTCACCATGTGCTTGGTACTTGCCAGGTACCATGGGCAGTGCCTCACCTGCCCAGCTGAGGTGGCCCTCTACTGTCACTGTCCATCAGCAGACGAGGGAGCAGTCCTGTCACACAGCCTGGCCAAGGGCACAGAGGTGGGGTCAAGCTGGGCCCTGGCTCCAAACCTGCCAGTGATGTCACTGTCACAGGATGTCACTGTCACTGAACGCAGTCCCTGGGGCACAGGTAGACAGCCCCAGAATGCCGGCCAGTGAAACATGAGATGGCCCTGGCTTGCTGGCCTGTCTCACTGTTCCAGCCACACACCCCCACCCCTGCCCCCCGCGCTTGGTCAGTGTGAGTGCATCACCCTGGATGTGTGAGCATGCCCGGATGAGGCTGTCAGCTTGGACCAGGCACGTTTCTGAGCAGATTTGCAAAACCGAGTGTCAAATGATGAAATGCCATCCGTGAAAGCTCTGACAGTGCCAATCCAAATGCCAGCTGGCTTGTCCTCTCTCCCCGAGCTGTGTCATAAAAAGAGGCAGCATTTTCCAGGTCACTGGTCTCAGCCACAATGTGACAGTCGTTTTCAGAAGAAGGGGACTTGGTAGGGGGAGTGGCATTTTGTTTGCTCTGGGAGGACTCCAGAAGCTTCTGGTCCTGTGACTTCTTGGGCACTGTGATGGCTTGTTCTTTGAGATTGCCTTGTCCCTGCAGTCCCCGCAGGGCTTCCAGAAAGATGGGCTGATTCAGCATTCTCGGGAGTCCACGCCCAACTCCCCTGCAGGTCCGTAGAGCTCACCTCCAGCCCAGGACCCCACGCAATGCTCAGGG